CCCAGGCGGGTCTGGAACTCACAGAGATCCCCCTGCCTCTGCCTCCCGAGTGCTGGGATTAAAGGTGTGCACTACCGGGCTATTTTAGATTTTTTAAAAATTATTTTATTTTACGTACATGGGTGTTTTGCCTGCAGGGATGAATGTCTTTATAAGGGTATCACATCCCCTGGAACAGGAGTTATGGACAGTTGTGAGCTGCCATGTGGGTGCTGGGAATTGAACCCGGGTCCTCTGAAAGAGCAGTCAGTGCTCTTAACCTCTGAGCCATCTGAAAGGTTCAGGCATTATGCTGGCCTGCCCCTGTTACCTGGTGGAATCCACTCAGGCAATACCCTGGTCAGCCCAAGGTTCCATGGGAAAGAAGTCTGTACGCAGGTGCAGAGGACCCCTTTAAAAGATAGGCCCCTGCCCTCTCTCTCTCTCTCTGCCCTCTCTCTCTCTCTCTCCCCCTGTTCCTGCTCTCTGTCCCCTCTCTCTGTTTCCCCGCTCTGTCTCTCTATGGCGACCGGCCATGGTGGTCAGCCATTACCCTGTTCCTCTTCTTAGTCTCCCCATTCTACCGGGCCTTATAATAAACTTATAGTCAATATGTCTGTCTCAATATTTCTCTTTTCTTCTTTTTAAACAAAAGAATAACACCATCTCTCCAGCCCCTATTTTTAGATTTTTTAAAAATAATTTTTTATTATGTATACATAATACATATATCCAACCCCAGTAATTTATTTACTTTTATCTTATGTTCATTGGTGTTTTGCTTGCATGTATGTTTATGTGAGGGTGTCAGATCTTGGAGTTACAGACAGGTGCAAGTTGCCACGTGGTTGTTGGGAATTGAACTCAGGTCCTCTGGATGAACAGCCAGTGCTCTTAACCTCTGAGCCATCTCTCCAGCCCCATGAGTTGTATGAGTTGTAATTTTTTTTCTTTTTTGGTTTTTCGAGACAGGGTTTCTCTGTGTAGCTTTGGAGCCTATCCTGGCGCTCACTTTGGAGACCAAGCTGGCCTCGAACTCACAGAGATACGCCTGCCTCTGCTCCCGAGTGCTGGGATTAAAGGTGTGTATCACCAACTCTGAGTAGCCCTGGCCGTCCTGGAACTCACAGAGATCGGCGTGCCTCTACCTCCCGAGTGCTGGGATTAAAGGCATGCGCCACCACCCAGCTCTACCTGTTGGTGAGTTGTAAATTTTAATGGTTCATGTGTAATAGTTAATGTCTGTAATCCCAGCAATCAGGAGGCCAAGGCAGGAGAATTGCCCCAAATTCAAGCCAGTCCCGATTCTGTCTTAGAGTAGTGGTGGTGTATTCAAGGGAGGGATAAGCAGCTATGTACCAAATCTTTGTAACTTTTGAGTAGTCTTCTCCTTATTGTGTATTTCCTTTTGAGTAGGAGTCTCACTCACCTTTTCTTCTTACCTCTGCCTCCCCAGTGCTGGAACTAAACTTATGCACCATAACTGGCTCAAGTCTTTTTTGTTTGTTTGTTTTAGTTTTTTGAGACAGGGTTTCTCTGTGTAGCCTTGGCCATCCTGGAACTCACAGAGATCCCACTGCCTCTGCTTCCCAAGTGTTGGGACCACTGGGCTCACGGCCCTATTTTTAATTACTTGATCTAACACAAGATGATAATGTGGGGGGTAGGGAGCAAGGAGAAAGAAAACTAACAAATTCCAAGATTTTTTTTCTGTGACTTGTTCCTTGGCTATCTGTATCTATATTGTTACATGCTTAGTGACTGTCTACCTGTTTTTGTTGTTGTTTGGGATTTTTGGTTTTGGTTTGGTTTGGTTTTTCTTTTTTTCTTTCTTTTTCTTCTTCTTTTTTGTTTTTTTTTGTTTGTTTTGTTTTTGAGACAGGGTTTCTCTGAGTAGCCCTGGCCGTCCTGGAACTCACAGAGATCCGCGTGCCTCTACCTCCCGAGTGCTGGGATTAAAGGCATGCGCCACCACCCAGCTCTACCTGTTGATTAGAACTTTTGCATTTTTTTTGTTCTTATTTGAGACAGTAGCCCAGGAAAGCTTTGAACTCACAGTTCTCCTGCCATGGCCTCCCAAGTGCTACCATTACAAGGATGCACACACCATAATGGGCTCTTGGAATTGTTTAATGTCACCTCTATTTTGTTCGCATTCATTCTTCATTTTATGTTTAAGATTGGTGACTTCTAATTCATTTCCTTAAGGAATATATTCAGTATTCAGGTAGAGATGCAACCTAATGGCTCATGTTGTTTGGAATCAGTGCTGAGTAGCTGAGAGAGCTCTATCTGCCTGTTTAGTTACACTGGAACAGAAACATGGCTTGGATTTTGTTGCCTTTAATCACAATAAAACCAGGCTGGATTTCAGTTACAGTTAGCACAAACCAGCCAGATGAAGTAGCACACACCTGTCATCTCAGCACTCCAGAGTCAAGGTGGAGGCAGGAGGAGCAGAAGTACAAGTTTTGAGGCCAGCTTGGCTTACATGAGACATCTAAAAATATAATCACACATAACTGCCATTTTATTCTAGAACCAAAGCCACAGATCATAGAATGGGGGTGTGGTTCATGCTACAGTAGCAGGGTAACCACTAGAATAGTGACTTTGGAAATATACCACTAGTCTTCAAGAACACTACCTACATTAAGTACACTACCCTCTGGAGGCCCTTGGTTTGATTTCTTTCCTGCTTCATGACTGATTCTGGTCTCCTAGCCCTGATTCTGGTCTCACTAGTCCTGATTCCTTCTTATCTTTACTTTCTGTACTAACAAACTTACCTTGCTCCTGGCTCTCCATAATAACTATTTTTGCTGCTGTTAGTTGTTTGTTTGAGACAAGATTTCCCTATGTAGCTGGTTGGTCTCATAATTTCTGTGAGGATGAGGTTGGTCTCTTCTTTGCTGTGATCCTCTAGTTCCAGCCTTTCAAGGGCTGGGATTACAGGTATGAACCACCTTGCCCAGGTCACCTATATTTCTTACAACAACTAGGCACTTGTAACAGGCCAAATTTCTCTCTGAACTCTAGCCTCAGAAATTGATCTGCTGGGCCAAGAGTCACTAAGGTGCCTTGCAAACTAGCCTGATGGTGGTGACAAACACCTTGAATCCCAGCACTCAGGAGGCAGAGGCAGGCAGATCTCTGAGTTGGACACCAACCTGATCTACAGAGTGAGTTCCAGGACAGCCCAGTTAGGGCTACTCAGAGAAATTCTGTCTTGAAAAACAAAAATAAAGTGCCTTGCAAACATGAGGACCTGAATTTGGTCCCAGAATACAATATGAAAAAAAGACAAGGATAGCATGCTTGTAATCCCACCACTGGAGAGACAGATAGACAGAGATAGGATGATCCCAAGGATCTGCCTGTTAGCCAGCATAGCTAGTGAGTGATCCTGTCTCAACAAAAAGGTATATAGTGTCTGAGGAACACCACCTGAAGTTGTCCTCTGATCTACCTATACCTTCTCTCTTACACACACACACACACGCACACACACACACACACACACACACACACACACTTACTTGAGGTGGGGGTGTGGTGGGTGGTAGTGTCCAACTGCTGATTTACTAGCCTGACATCCTAGCTGTTGGATTCTCTGTCAAGGCTCAGGCTGCTGGACCTAGCAGATCAAGGATGTTCCTGCTACATGGAGCCCACCTGGCTGGACCCTCCTGGCTTCCCTTGTGTCAAACAGATCCATTGCTTTGGATCATTGCTCACAAGGTCTTCTCTGACCCCTCTGTAAGAAAGTTCTGTATCATTACATCTGCTCTGTTTTGACAGCTCATTGGTCTCTACCTGGGTTTGTTTGTTTACTTGAGTCTGATCACCCAGAAAAGGTGAATTCTTTGAGGCAGCACTTCTTGGTTTACCAAACAAAAGGCACACTTTGAACTCTCAGAGCAGCTGAGAGCAACACCTGATGGATGGGCTGGGAGGGACTGAGGGAAAGCCTACTGGATCCCCCTTACACAGCCCATTTCTCCCTCTCCTGCTGTCTGTCACATCCTTCACACCCAACCTGGACTTCCAGAAAATGAGGAGACCATACTTACATGCTGGGAGGTGTACTCGGCCACCTGGTTGAAGATTTGCAGCAAGGCAGGGTCACCACTGTCACTGTAACCCATGAGGAAGGAAATCACAGCTTCACTATGTGGCCACCACAGCTTCATGTCCCACTCCAGCTGAGGGCAGAGATAGGCAGTTGAGGTCCCTGCTGGCCTTAGGACACTTACTCTTATCCTCCATTCTGGCTCAGTCTGTCTGGCTTAGGACTTGGTTCTTTTTGTTGTTGTTGTTTTTTCAAGACAGGGTTTCTCTGTGGCTTTGGAGGCTGTCCTGGAACTAGCTCTTGTAGACCAGGCTGGTCTCGAACTCACAGAGATCCACCTGCCTCTGCCTCCCGAGTGCTGGGATTAAAGACGTGCACCACCACCACCGCCCAGCAGGACTTGGTTCTTAATCATGAGACATAGGGGATAGAGTTGAATAGTGCTTAAGAGTAGGGCTAGCTTTCTGACATGTATGTACCCCAAGACAGCTCCTTAAAAGGACAAGTACTAGGACCGATTCAGAATGCTGTCTGCCTTGTCACATCATCTTTAAGCCTCTTGGACACTGCTGTTACCCATGGCTAGTATAGTACCCTCTGCAGAAGTCCAGCAGGATCAGGATAAAACTGATCAGATGAATTATTTCACTCCTGTCTAGCATCAAATTCAAGAATGAGAATCACCCAAGAACCCTTCAAGCCACTGGCACCAGACAAAGGGGATATGTGTTTTGGGATCAGCATTGGCACACACTCTTCCTTCACAGAGTATGAGCTGGAAAAAACTGGACTCTAGGTTCAAATTATTTTTTTTTTGCAACAGGGTCTATGTTGTCCTGGTTGTCTAGGTAAGTTACTATACCAGGCTGGCCTCAATCTCCTGCTGCCTCTGCACCCCAAGTGCTAGCATAGAAGGCATGTGCCACCCACCACACCTGGCTCTGAGTTACCTTTACTACATGCCAGACTTCCAGCAAGTTGTTCTGGACATTCCCACCTGAGTGGGGCAGAGACCATCAGCATCCTGGAAGTTGAAGAGGCCTCTGTACTCAACATTGCATCCAGAGGAATGGGGAAAGGCAACAAGAGAAACTTGTCAATGATGTGTGCTTGAAGTTTGGTGTCACTTTTCTTGCGAGCATACTGGAACTTCTAGTGTGTGGCCTAGTGAGGGTTGAAAGAAAGGCAGGCAGGTGTCACATTTCCCATCCCAAGCATCTGAGGGCTTTAGTTCCTGGAACCTCCCTTACTTCTCAAGGGTGAAAGATGCTTAAACTCTGAGAGGATACCCTGCCTTTCTGCCTGGACTCCATTCCCTGAAAAAATATGCCCCCCAAAAGAGACATGTAAGCTCCGCCCAATCCCGGGCAGATGATCCCCTTCCTCTGACTGGTCCTTGGTAGAGGGAGGAAGGCAGCCCACTCCCATGTCAGGTACCAAACTGAAAGCTGAGTTCTTTTTCCTGAAGCTCAGCACATGTCTTCACCTGGGTTCTGGCATCTTCCAAGGCAACCAGGGAGTTCTTTTGCCATCCTCTGATACATTCTCTAGCACAACTTGTCCATCCCTCTGCCAGGAAAGGGACAAAAGACAGATGTTTCCAGTTCCCTATCATCCAACCAGAAAGATCTAACTTCAAAATTCCCTCCAGTGGCCGGGTGGTGGTGGCACACACCTTTAATTCCAGCACTCGGGAGGCAGAGGCAGGTGGATCTCTGAGTTTGAGACAGCCTGGTCTACAAGAGCTAGTTCCAGGACAGCCTCCAAAGCCACAGAGAAACCTTGTGTTGAAAAAACAACACAACACAAAAATTCCTCCCTCCACTCTGGGTACCAGCCATCCACCTAATCAGTAGGCTCAAAGGGGGTATTTTTGTTTGTTGTGTGTTTTGAAACAGTCTTGAGTAGTCCAAGCTGGTCTCAAATTCAGTATATGTGCAAAGTTGACCTTGAACTCTAGATTCTCCCATCCCTACCCCTGGAGGTCTGGAATTACAGAAGAACATTTTTGGATGGCTGATCGTCTCCCATGGGTCTATAGATTCCAATCCTTCCTTTAGGTCTTGGATCTCTCAAGCGGAGAGTGTAAAACACTGAATGAGTAGGCAAGATAGAGTTGAATGCCCACAGAGGCTAGGAAGGAATATAGATCAAAGTCTCAGGATGTGTCTGGGGCTCTGGCCTCTTTCTGCCTTATGACCCATCCATCTCTGTCCCAGCATGCCAGGATCCATCTTCCTGAGGGCTCTGGGATGTATTTCTTTTCCCGAGACAGGGTTTATCTGTAGCTTTGGAGATTGTCCTGGAACTCACTTTGTAGACCAGGCTGGCCTTGAACTTACAGAGATCTGCCTGCCTCTGCCTCCCGAGTGCTGGCATTAAAGGTGTGCGCCACCACTGCCCAGCAACCTGGGCTGTATTTCAAATGAATGTGCTTCCTTAGATCCACCTGTCTAGAAAGCTGAAGAACATATTTCAGGTAGAGGGCCCCTTGTATAGTGGGAGAATGGGAATCACTCTGTCCCTCTTTCTTTGCCTACCAGGACGTGCTGCAGAATCCTGTGGGCACACCAGTCCCCTAGTTCTGCATACTTGCTAGTCAGTGCCTCATCTTCCTCCCCAAGCTGCTCCTCCAGGCTGAGCAGCATCATGGACACAGCCATGGGCTCTGTGGCCAGGGTCCCTGAGAGCTGAGGCCGGCCTAGCCCAGCCAGGTCCTCCCGCACCCAGTGAGTGATCTGGTCCATCATCTCCACAGCTTCATTCTGTGGGGAGACCAGGCAGAGGCTGCATGCCTTGTCCCATCTGTCTCCCCCAGGAAGGACCCAGTCTCAGCTTGTTCTCCAAGGACACCAACTCTTTCTGTAGGTCTCCAGGGCCAGCCCTACAGCCAGGCACCAGAGGCCAACCAGCTCCAGCCAACACTGCTTGGGGGACTCTGGGATTCAGGTCACTTTCAGACAGAAGGGCCCTGGAAGGAAGGAGAGGACCTCTTCTACTTAGACACAGGGCACTGATCCTTGCTTGCCCAGTGTCACTATGGTGGTACCGGAATTGTAAGAAAGCTTAGAAGAGAAAGTGGTCACAAAATGGTAGGACAGGAGTGAATGGGGGTTGTGGCAGGCTCCCAGGCCAGTCTTCAGAGTGCGCTCATCCCTGTGGTCATTCCTCCCACACACCTGGTCATGTGTTTCCTTTGTTACTCTCCAAAGCTCATTCATGGCTACGGCATAGAAACACTCGCTGAAAATGGTCCTCTGCACCTTCATTGGAAGGCCGTCCCGAGTCAATACAAAGGCACACTTCTTGGCAGGTGGTGCCAGTCATGCAAAATGCAGCAAAAACTCACCACCTGGTGGTTGAGGAGTACGCATGCTAGGTGAGGGCTTGGAATATACTGTCTCTTGGAACATAATCAGTCCCTTTCCTTTTCTAGACTCCTTGATATCCCCTGAATAAGTGACCCATTGAAGCTCCTGAGGAGCTGGGAGTAGAACAGGGTACCTGCTTTTGCGGCATCTAGAAGCTCAGCGAGGCGGAAGTGCTCAAAATTGAGGTACAAGCGACAATACATCCATACCTGTGAGGGAACACAGTTTAAAAGAGAACAGCTGGGGGGTGGGGCTGGAGTGATGACTCAGTGGTTAAGAGCACTGACTACTCTTCCAGAGGTCCTAAATTCAATCCCAGCACCACATGGTGGCTCACAAACATCTGTAATGAGATTTAGTGCCCTCTTCTGGTGCCCTCTTTTGGCCTGCAGGCATACATGCAGAGCATTGTATACATAGTAAGTCAATTTAAAAAGAGAGAGAGAGAGAAAACAGCTGGGGTCCTGGGAATCCTAAGTGTCCCTGGGTTTTGTGACAGCCTTAAGTATGAAAACTGACCTGCCTCCCCTGCAGCCAGACATAGTTAAGGTCATCATAGACCTGCCCATTGCAGCCAAGGCATGTGAAGAAGGCCCTGTGAGACACATAGTTAGAAAAAGAGGGAAGCAGACTCGTGCCCTTCTCTATAGCTTCACTACTCTCCTGAAGCCAGTAGATCTGTGAGTCCCCTCAGAGTGAAGTAGGGGGTGGGGGTGGGCAAAAGCCTGGGGGGATCATTGAGAGGCAGCAAACCCATATTCCTGGTCATGGGAGTGTTCTATCCACAAAGCGATGACACTATCAAGCTCTTGTCCCACACGTTCCTTCCAGGCCTGTCGTGTCTCTTGTTCCTTCTCCATGTCCTATGAAGTGATTCAGGTCAGGGCACGAAGGCACAGCTCTTCACAGGGACTTCCTGAACCAGCTCAAGTGGACTCCAGAGCTGCTTGATCACACTCTACCCCCATAGGGCCTTGAGCCAAGGATCCCTCTCGCCTCTGTGATGGGCTTCTGACCCTACCATCGGCTGGGACCCACCAGAACAGCACCTCTCCTGCCAACGCTACCACTGACGTGTAACACTGGGTCCATTCGCTCTCCTCCAGAAAACCAAAGTTGGTCACTCAGCTGACAGAGCAATGCTTCACCCACGTGATCCTCCTCAGAGTTGTGAAGCTGGGGGCAGGACAGAGAGCGGGGTTTGAAACCCCGCCCTCTGCCCATCTAGGCCCGGGCTGAGCACCCTTGCTGTAGATCCCCCTGGTGGGAACTGTATGAGGACAGTCTTGTCCCATGGGGTGGGAGTAGGGAGGATACTGAATTGGGGCTGGCAAGTGAGGCTGGTGATCCCAACAGATGCGTGGGGTGGGGGTGCCCCTGGAAATGCCTGACCCTATGACCCCATATAGTGGGCAAGTCTCTGCCAATTTGGTCCTTTAGCTGTTTCAGCTGTCAGTATCCAGTAATTTACAACCATGGGCCCTGGTTGCCAGTTCCTGGATACTTCACCCCAAAGGATGCTTCTGGGAAAACAGGTGGTAGCCATGCAGAACAGAGTGGACATCCTCTACATCTTTGGACCTGCCTTTGAGCTGCCCAGTATTGGCTGACTCTGAGCCAGGCTGGTTCATGCTTTCCCCCATTCTTGTTACCCCCTGAGCACCCTCATCGTTCAGCTAATTGAGTGGAGGGAGAGTTGCAGCCAGAATGCCTGAGGCACTTTGGGGAACTTGAACATGTTCTGAATCTTTTTTTTTTTTTCCATTTTATTTTATGTGTTTTGGTTTTTTTTTTTTTTTTTTGCCTCTGTGTATTTTTGTGCACTACATGCATGCAGTATCCTCACAGACCACACGAGGGCACTGGGATCCTTTGGGGATGGAGTTACAAATGGCTGTGAATGTCCATGTGGGTACTGAGAATCAAACCTGGGCCCTCTGGAAGAAAAGACGGTACACTTAACTGCTGAGTCATTACTTCAGTTTCTTGAACATGTTCTTTTTTTGGGGGGGGGGGGGTTCGAGACAGGGTTTCTCTGTGGCTTTAGAGGCTGTCCAGGTTGGTTTCTAACTCAGAGATGCACCTGCCTCTATGTCCCAAGTGCTGGGATTAAAGGTGTGTGCCACTAACACCCGGCTGAACATGTTCTTAAGGATGGATTGCAACCCAGGAGTGTAAAGTAACTAGACTTTCTACCTCATCAATGCTTTCCGGCCATGGTGATGTTCTTGTGTCACCCCACCTCCCAGCTGTGTGCTGGCCTTTGATTCCATGACTACTACCTTGCTGGCTATGGCTGCTGGCTAGCTTGGCAGGTTGGAGTGGCTCTTTCAGCCTGAAACACTTCACCTTCATGGTGCTTGGAGTAAGCCTGGTCCCTGGTTGGTTAGGTAGGTGTCTACTGCAGCTGCTCATACCTAGGGGACCCTGTATCTGTATTGAGGAAGACTTGTGCAACTTATTTAAACTGTATTCATCCATGACCATCTTCCCCTTCCTCCCTTGCACACATGCCATCACCCTCAAGATCAGCCAAGGATAAGCCTTGGTGTGATACTATAGGTGGTTCCCTGGCCCTGGATTTCATAAGAGCAGGGTGAGGCAAGCCTGTGATGCCTCTTTCTGCCTTCAAGCTCACTTTGCTAGTTTGTTTGTAACATGGTCTCATGTATCCCAGGCTAGCCTTGAACTCTATTAGCCAAGGATGGTCTTGAACTCCTGATCCTTTTGCTATACCTTTTGCTATACCTCTCAAGAACTGGTATTACAGGTGTGTTCCATCACATTCAGCTTCAAGCTCAGAATTTTTGTTGTTTTTCAAGACAGGGTTTCACTGTGTAGTCCTGGCTGTCCTGGAACTCACTCTGTAGACCAGGCTGGCTTCAAACTCAGACTCACCTGCTTCTGCCTCCCCAGTGCTGGGATTGAAGATATGTACCATGACCACCCAGCTCAAGCTCAGTATTTTGAAATCTGCACCAAAGGACTTCTGGTATAAATCCTTTAAAAAAGGATTTATTTTTAATTATGTGTACGTATGTCTACGAGTGAGGTGATCACAGAGGTCTGCTCAATGAAGATGTTGGAAACTGAACTCTGATCCTTTGCAAGAGCAGTATACTCTTAACCACCGAGCCATCTTTCTGACCCTGCATATTAAGTTCCAGAGTGGTATGAGAAGGTCAGTACAGGGAAAGAGAAAGGGTAGACCCATAGGTAATGGCTATAGGAATAGTGTGGGGAAAACCTTTGCACTTCTGTCAGGCTGTGTCCACATGCTTGCACAGGCCTCTCCATTGGACAATTCACCTCTACTGACCCATGCCCTCCTATCCTTGGACATTGCTCCCACAGCTCCTATCTGAAGGACAGTTTATTGTTCCTCTTCTCGGGCCTGAAACAGGTTAGTGGAACTTCCACTTTACTGAGGGGATACCCTCAACAAATCAGAAGCCTTGGAAGTTGTGGATGTGTGAGGCTGTGCTTTTAGCTGGCCTGAGCTAGGCTCCATCTGGGGCAGGGAAGGGTCTGGGTGGGAGGACATAATGGATATCATATGCTAGCAGATGCTGCTGTGGAGATCAATAGTGCTGTGAGCAACAAAGGCTTCTCAGAGATCTTCTACATTGGGCCTGCACTCAAGGCATCAGCATGTACCGAGTGCACACATCTAGTTGCACAGCAGCACTGGGCCCATAGGAGGCAACTTTTGGCACCAAAATGGCCGAGAGGGAGAATAGCAGCACAGAGGGCTGGAGAGATAGCCCAGTGATTAAGAGTGTGTATTGCTCTTACAGAAGACCAAAGTTCAATTCCCAGCACCCAAGTTGGTCAGCTCACAGATGCCTTTAACTCCAGCTCTATAGAGGTCTGTGGAAACCTGTATGTATTTATCCACCCACCCAACATAATTAAAAATAGATGCCGAGGACACATCTCCCCCACATCCCTTCTTTCTCTAGCTCAGCACAAGGGACCTGGAGAAGCATGGAGGTGGTATGCTTGGTACTCTCAGTCTGCTGTCACCTAGACCTGCCATCATTGAGCTCTGGCTATAGGCCAGGGTTGCCTTATCTCCAGGCTTTCTTAGCCTTCTGCCCAGATAACAGTATTCAACCAAATCACAGCTGTACCACCAACTGGCTGCTGGACAGCCAGGGTCAATAATTCTGCCTCTCCCTCTTTGGAGGCTTGGCTTGTGTACAAAGCTAGAGGAGCTGGTCCTGCAACATCCATCTCATGTCAGACACACCTGTCCTGCTATAGCTGACACTCAGGGCCTCCTGAGCTTATGTGGGAAGAATATAGAGGCTGTGGCTTACTTACATGTCTGCCAATGGCCAGGCAGGCCTTTACCTTGGTCTGTCTCTTAGTGGGAGAATACATGACCTGGCTTCCAAATGCAGAATCAGCAACAAGTGCTCAAAGAGCACTTGGGCCTATAAGGTAGCATGGCTCCAGAGGCTCCAGGTCCCAGTGGTACACCTTGCTCTGGAGCCTTCTGAGGGCAGTTGAGAATCTCTCACCTATGGTTCCTGGTAACAAAAGGCCTCCAGTGGCTCAAGTGAACCTTGGGCAGGTCCCAGCTCCCCCTTTCCAAAGGTTGCAAGATACTGATGACACAGGGGTAGACATCACATGGTTATTTCAAAAAAAGTCTTTTAATTGTTCAAAATAGCACAAAACAACATCGCACTATGGTAATATTGAGTCACAGGGATTACTCTACAATAGATGAATGGGGTAGTACTGTTCTCAGAAGAGAAATCAACGGGTGCTTGGGAGAAGGGATAGGGAAAACAAAGGGGCCAGGGCTCCAACTTGACTAAACAAGACATTTTCCACAGAGAAATATGATATAATACACTAGAGGCCCCAGGGGGTATGGGCCTAAGTGGCTGAACACATTGGCTGTCCATTTCTAAATCCTTCAGTAACTTGCTTGCAAGCATTACTCACCACCTAAAACTTGGGTCCTGGAGAGAAAAAATCCAGAGCTTGGGGGCAATGCTATGAAATTAATTACTGAGTTGTTTCATGTACCTACCCACAGCCTCTGTGGGTTATTTGGCATACCCCACCACCTTCCTGGTCTGCTTTCAAGGTGGCCAGATCCCACCTGTTCCCTGCCACTGCTGTATTGTTCAGGGTCAGTTTCTGTAAGTGATGCTGATGAAGGTGGACTCCACCTTCAAGCCCAAGCCTCTACATGTCAAGTGCTAACCCACAAGGAATAAGGTCAATTGTCACACACTGTTCCAAAAGCAGGCAGGGTCTAGCAACAGGAAAATTGAACTAGGCAGTGTCTACCAGGTCCTATCCAGGACACTCTGTTTCTCTCCTGCCCAAGCTGCTCTCTCAGCTTTTTCCCAGAAAGATCCCTGCCAATTATTAGCCAAAGGGGGGGGGGGAATAGAAGAAAGAAAATACGATACACATTCTGTACACAGCTAACAAAAAGGGATAAACCCCCACACACTAAGGCTAAAATTACAATAAAAATGTTAACTTCATTAATTTCAACTTAAAAATACAACAAATGCAGCAGTTGGTGATGTGGCCCCCAGGTTCAAGCAAGGTGGGCCAAAGCCAGGATCACTAGGGGCCACTCTGTGCCCATTGGGAGGATTTCACAGCCACTGCTTAGACCACCCACCACCCAAGGCTCCATCTTTCCCCTCATCTTTTTTGTAAAGAGGAAGGGAGAGGTGTTAAGTGGCAGCACAAAGGCCTCTGAGATATGTTACGCTTCTGGTGGGTTCACTGGGCAAGACAGATCTGACTAAGCTTGAAGAAGGGATAGGAGGTGCCTTGAAAGCAAAAGGGTAGTAACAAAACAAAATAGAACCAGACAGACATCCAGGATGGGGCACTTGCTGGGGAAAGCCTGAGGGAAATTGGAGGATACTCCTCCCCCCCCTCCAGCCCTTGGCTGCCTCTCAGGCCAAGGACGATGAACTACAAACAAGTGCAGGCTTAAGCTTAGGTACTACCTCCTTTGTCTTCAG